GTCCATATCGAAGTCGGGAATTGAGCCAATCGCTGAAACCGTACCATTACAAACTTAATATCAAAGCGTTTTCAAATAATCAGAGCGTTCTGAAAAACTTACATTCCGAGTATCCACTGTTTGGAGCTGGTTGCGCCTGGCCGGCAGGTACACTTCCTCCGGACTGCTGCTGCCCGCCCCCTCCTGCACTAGCTCCGCTATCCGCACGAAGCCTTGAGTTTTTCTTGTCTTGGAGGTCTTTTTGAATCTTGTAAATCTTCTCCGCCAACAGGTGATAGTATTCTTCCTGAAGAGCAAAGAATTGTATCAACTTATTTAAAGTTGAGAGAGTCAAGACAAAAGGAAAACTCTACAACTCTTCTGAAGGCATCATTGATCTATCAGTGCACACACGAGGAAACACGGCAAAAGTGAACACTCATTAATGCTTCTTGTTAGAATAGTCGTTTTTTTCAATTTTCATGAGCTAGCAATATGATATAAAATAGATTGTCAGCGAAGTAGGCCAATCATAGACACGTATACTCAGATGCATTTCGCCAGTTAACAGGGGAAAAGGAGAGTACTCAATCTAGAAGGAGCTTATTTAGGAGGTTGAACATAAATATGGTAGGTGACGAGATTGAAGATGAAATGCAGCTTATGTAACATTGAGCAGACCCTTGATTGAGCCATCAAATTCGTCATAGTTTTTTGTACATAATTTCATGGTTTTGAGATCCTATTTGATGAATGTTCTCATTTCATCCAAATCGGATGGCAATTGTTGCTTAACACGTCACCGGTCCAGCTTCTCCCGATATATGCTGTCTGCATTGACAGACCACTGGGCTGACTTTAAAATCGAGCGCACTTATTAGACCTACTTCATTAAGTCGACTGGTTATGGCAGCCGACAAGGTAGGTTTTAGTTGAGACTTCTGAGAAATAATGCTGATAAAACGCTTTCAAAGAAGTCGTGAGCTGGACAACTTGGATTGGCACATCTAGCAAGCAGTGCGTTTCAGTCTTGCTCACTGATCGCATTTTGTACTATTCGATAAGAAACTTATTTGTAGGATTTTCTATATTAAGGAACGAGGGCACCCTAACTTCTTCGATTGCAGGGTAGAGGCCTACCAAACGTGATGCTAAAAGCCTGCTCGAAGTAACACGATTCGACTAGCTCGCTCGTTGGAAACTGCTCTTCAGAAGGCAAGAGAAGAAGGTTGTAGAATGGGAGCCATGCAGAAGCGGAATACTACAGAGTGCTTCCGTTGGACAGAACTACCAAGTTCACGCACAGCGCATATTGCCAATCATTGAACGATCAAAATGTCGCTATAACTATGCTCTACCCTCGCCTTTAACCAAATTCAACCAAAGATAGGTTAAAGGAATCTTCCACGGACCATGGACCAGTGGGCGGGACCGGAAGTGGTTTTACGACGAAATGCATGGTAGGTACGGATCCACGTTCATGGGAAGGTTTTGGAGTGAATCCTGTTCACGTTCTTGCGTTCAACACGTGGATCCGTACCTACCATGCATTTCCTCACTAAAACTTCCGGTCCCGCCCACTGGTCCATGGTCCGCGGAAGATTCCTTTAATTTTGTTGCATGGCCATTCGTAAACTCAGAATAGGTAACACGTTCAGTTCCCATCATGTATCACAAGAGGCACCGAAAAGCAAACGATATCGAGTTTTTCGAAGTCATACGATGCCATGTGAGTACTGAACCTGTAAACTACACTCAGCCGTAGAAACTAGCGTGCACTAAAATATTTCCCCTTGTCAATTGTATATGGAGTATTACAACCCCTCTCAAGATTGCGCAATGTCTTGCACTAGAGCAGAAACTCGCAACTCACTCGGTCATTGGCTGACTCGAACATCTCCATTTCGACTTTTCTAGCATAGTTGATGAGGTCACGAATTCGTTGGGTCGTGTATCGCGTTTGGATCCGGTGACGGGAATATTGCCTTCACCAACTTGCCACGAGGTTGGATTACGAAGATCACGAGTGACGTGCTGATGCCATTCCTGAACACAACAAACTTAAAGCTGTTTAAAAGTTTATGAGTCGAGGCGACTTCGAAGGAGAAATGTAACGGAACTACCTTTGCACTCATTTTTTACTACATGAATGAACCACGCACCAACGGCAACAGCCACGTCCACACATATAGGGGATGATTGATAAGATAAAAATGATACTCTTTCAACTTCACGATTAACGTAAAAAAGCATGTTTGAACATAAATGCTCACTGCAGTAGTTCATCCAAAGTTAGCAATTCATTCACTTTCCATACCACGTCAAGATGTGGTGCACAATCGACATTCAAATACGCGTACAGTCGCGCGGTTTCAAACAAATCAGAACTAAACTTGAAGGCGTTTAAATAATGATTCTTGCTCTGTATGAACTAGGAACGGAGTTTTCATTACACAGAAATGTTAAACTATCTGCTCACATCACCACTGCCCAGCCAAAACTCTATCTATAGGCTACTAACTTGAGTGGGAAATGGAATGTTAATGAGTGCAAACGGCAGGAGAATAACAGAGAACGCTAGCGGGCAACTTCTTTTTTTAACTTTATTTTCAGATGTTGGTAAGAATTAAGATACCTTTACCTTTGCATGACAAACACACAAATAAACCACACAAAACAAACACAGCAATTTACATTCAGAGAGGTGGAACAGGTGATCGTTGAGAAGGTCAACCAGGCGCCTGCGAGCCATCATACCATGATGACCTCCGGATGCGGCACCAACTGAACCTGGGCCGGCATGCTTGTTTGGTGGATTGGGTGATCGGAACGGATCGCTAAATTACAGCAGTGAGTGCCAATAATGCGTTCCAAATAGACTAATTTAAGTCGTACTTCATAGGAGGATTGTAGTCGTTCAGTAATCCTGCAGCTGACATTGGGCCGCTAGGAGGACCGGAGACACCAGTGCCACTTGGTGGTGCTGAGCTACCTGCAGCTGCTGCCGCCGCCGCTGCTCCGGCACTGGAGGCCGGTGCAGGCGAGCCAAACTGTGCCATTGGATCTGATTGTGGGCCCACCTGCTCCAATGCTCCCGCCTCCAGCTGATCCTGGCGCTCCGACTGACCCGGGACCAAGAAGCTGACTCATGTCTTGCAGTGCTGAACGGCAAACATTATACAAGAACTAATGAATGGGAACGGCCGGTAAAACCATATATCGATAATAAACTCTGACATAGCTCACTTCCAGCGGCGGAAGGTTGATTTTGGATACTCTTCAACGGTTTACATACGGGACAATCGTCTCGATTACAATTCTTCCAGTGGGCTATGATTTGCCGTGATGAAGCACAATGTGCATCTAAGAGCATCATTAGATTAGTTTCCGATCAAAGAATGCGTCACCCGAGTCCATGAAATTGACTGTACAACTTACAGGTGCATTGTCGTCCATTATGACAAATTGTCATATGCTGTAGAACCTCTTTCATTGTACTGCAGTGCGGTAGATTGCACGGTGTTCGTCCGTTGGCAGCTTCGGCAGGATTCTGAAAATGGCAAAGGTTGAAGGTGAAGGCTTGCGATCACCATCAATTATGAGACTTTTACTCATCGTACTCGAAACATTCGTAACACGTCGCTCGGAAATCATTGTATATGTAAACTATGTTCTTCCCCACGTCAGCTCTTAAAGAAATGGTCACAGTCCGTTATGCAGACACATTTGACCAAAGCATTCTAAGATCAGTATCGTATCCGTTTCTTGAATAAGGAGAGAGCACGCGCCCGCCAGTGAAAAGAACGGCCATGATAGGTACCGATCGCATAGGCGAAGGTGCACCTCCACCTAAGGTGCTTTTTAGGCTTCCCAGAAGCATCGCTAGCTCTTCGCTACTTTTCGATCAAGTCACATCTGCTCTCGTTTTCGAGCAAAGATCTCGAACATTGGCCTTCACGGAGCTTCCTACACTTTGTGAGGGAGCTGGACTTCCTTATACTCGTTGCACCTAGACATCTTAATTCAAGATGGTGAATCATAGTCCTGAAGTTCTTCAAGTTAGAAGAACTTTACTAATTCATGAAGATGACTCCAAAACTGTTCCAAAACTTTATGCATTTACGTAGTCCTCGAGGTAAATGCTACCTTCGAATTTTTAGGCTGAGATTTTTGTTTCAGAGAGAACTAGAACACTAAACAACTTTTGATAATAAGAGATCTTTTGGATCTAAATTCTCTGAAGTAAAGAAGAAGAGGTTTTTGAGCTATTTCCTGAAAACCTATCTCGGCCCGAGAAAAGAATCTTAGTTGGAGCAGCCATCCTCTGGTTTGCCTATCAAAGGCGTAACCAATTAAAGGATGATATAAGTTGATGTGATACCGGCCATCGTGTTGAGAGCAAACAAGCTGGTCTTGATCGCTGGCTGGCTCCCAAACGGAAATCAATGGGAAAAAGGGCCTTATTTCTGGGATCTTGAGCTTCTTGGTCATACAAACACCCTCTGCCTCTAATTCTGCAACCAACAGCGATCTTTTCATAACATCCGCCTTCGAGTGGTACCCTGAAATGAGGCGAATCTGGAGGCACGGTTTTTAATTTGCTGTAGGCTAGTGTTCCGGTATGCAATTGCCACTGGAAGCCGATACCAAGCGGTTACTTTCCAAGGCAGTTCACGGGTTAGTGACAAAACTAACAACTCGAAACTTCAAATTTGATCTTGAAATCCGGCTAAATTTGAGAGCCCTGTGCAAGGTGAGAACTTTTTGCTGATCCCTTTTGGAAACGCCCAGTTGAGAATTCTATATCCGAAGCATGACTTCGATGCCTACGTGCCAACTGCTACTAAATTCACGCTCACTGCGGAAGTTGACATGTCTCTAAAAACGGAACATAACACGTTTGTTCACGCTTCATCTCATATAAAAACTACTAGAGAAGACGACCTAATGTAACGAGAACGTCTACAATCTGGCATCTATTTATATATTTCTCCAGAGGTAAATTATTTGCATAAGGTTCCATTTCGCTTATTCTACCAGCGAGTTTTTATCCACTATTTTTAATTCTAACCAAAATAAGTTTGTCTTCATTCACTTTCCCTTCTCACAAAACTACATTCCACTCGAGAGAATTTCATTTTCACGGGTTTTGAGCGCTCTCGGGCGCTGATTGCGCTGAAACTTTCTCTTCACCTAGTGTTCCACATATTTTCCAAGCTTTCTCTTCACCGAATGTTTCACCTTTTTTCTCAGCTTCACTCCACGGGCGGAAGTGGTGCAGTGACAAGTGGCGCGCTTACCACGCGAGCGGTCCGGGATCAAATCCTGGGTCGTGAGTCGCCCGGGCCAACCAAGCCTTCCATCCCTCCGGGGTCGGTTAATTGGTACCAGACTTGTCTGGGAGGATAAAAAACACTGACTTGTACATCGGCTGGCCCCGCAAGTCATTGTATAGGCCACATCGCATTCAAACGCCACTACGAATGTACAAATGGAAGTAGAATGCGTGCCGCATCCCAAAAAGGGATTGATCAACGGCAAATGCTTTATCCTTTTTTATCTTCTCTCTTCACCCTATGTTCCACATTTTTTCTATAGTCACCTAATATTACCTCTTCAAGGTAACCCTTCTAATCAAAAATGGATGTTTTGAAGAGAACAGACGGGTCTTACTTAGATCGAACAGAATTAATCCATTGATCGATTAAAGGAGGAATTCTGACGTCAATTAGGCAGCTTGCTGAGCATATTTTCCATGGAATCATGGTACGGTTCTAAGTGACTTTTCCGACCGGTGTCCCTGAGCAGTTTGTGGTAATAAACTCACTCTTTCCCGTTGTTGACATTTGTGTGCATGCAAAAGCAGAACAAGTTGTTGCTGAATAAGTTTTCGCTTCTCAGGATCTTGGGTACCAGGCGTCAATGGTGTGCCTCCGGTCCTTTGAGGCGGTTGTGACACTGGTGCGCCTTGCATCGAATGTGGGTGTTGTTGCTGACTAGAAGGTGGTCCTCCATTTGGCATTTGCATCATACCCTAAAGAAAGCGGGAGGTCAACGAACGGCTTCCAAAGTTGAACACACATCAAGGTTTTCCTATAGATACCTGAGGTGGCTGCGATGGAGCAGTTGCACCAGCAGGACGGTTACTCATCTGATGTGGACCATTCGATTGTGATGGGTCCATCATCATCATCTAAACAGAGTACCATGGTCCGGAAGAGAAATGGGTGACAGTTAAAATTCTTACCGGCGGTCCTTGTGGTGGACCAGGATGTCCAGGCATCATTCCAGGATAAGGTTGTCGGTTCATGAAACCCTGTAAATGAATACTTCGCAGTTATCTAAGAAGATGCTCTACAATTGTAATGGACTAATTAGAATGATCAACAGAAGTCTACAAAAGGTAATCTTTCACCTGCGGTGGCGGTCCACCCATGAACTGCTCTGGCCGTTGACCTTGAAAAGGTGCATTCGGATTAAAAGGTTGCTCCATCATTCCTGGATGTCGCATCATACCTGGCATCATCTGCGGCATCCCTGATAAACCACAATTCTGCCAAGAACAGGAGCGAAACGCACCAAGGAAGATCCAAACCATGAGGCTTTTCTCAGTAAAGTGTTTAAAATATACCTGGTCGACCAGGAGGTGCCATCTGTGGTGGTCGTTGCATATGGGCTCCATTCATCATACCGCCTCTGGGAATGGCTTGCCCTCGACCCTGTCCAGGATATGGTATCTAAATTCGGTGTTCATGGAAAAAATAAAAAAATTAAAACTGCCAAACGATTTCTTTTTCACTTGTTGTGAAAACGGAACATAAACTCAAAGTGAAAACGTTACATATCAAAAGGCAATTGAACTCACTTGATTTGGAGCACCCTGTGGTGCATACTGGCCTGGGTAACCACGCATTTGGCCTTGAGGTCCACCCGTCATCATCGGTTGGCCATATTGTGGTTGCTGAGGCATCTGCATTCCGTCGTACATCACAGGAGGCCCTTGCCCTGTAGTTGGAATTATACTATTGACAAGAAGCAAAATGATGAAACAAACACAAACATCTATCAGTAAAGTATGCACCTGGGGCACGCATAGGACCTCCAGGTGGGCCACCTGGTGGTCCTCCAGGAGAGGGTCCAGGGCCGCCCGCCCCTCGCCCTGCTCCTGCCATGTTAGCATTTGGAGGAGACATCATTGTGGCACCAGTCATTGGACTCCTGCATATAAGAAAAAGAATAATGGGAAGAATTCCAGCCTAGCAGCATAAATATTCAAAACTGCACCTAGTATTGAAATTGTTCGCCGTAGGTGCTCCAGAAAATGCAGGTCGTGGAGAATTGTTTGCAGCAGGACCTTGCGTTTGAGTCATTAATAGCTCCTAAAGCGATCAGTTTGAAAACAAAGAACTCTCATCTAAGAGGCGATAAGACGAAACAGAAGCAGAAAACAATACATAATCGAAATCCCAAGTAGTACCTGTAAAACAGATTGTTGTTGACCGCCACCTTGTGACTGTTGTCCGCCCCCTTGTCCTCCACCGGCTTGGCCATATCCGGCCGGTGCCATAGGAGCAGTCATAGTTGACTGTGATGTGGTCTGAAGGTTGATAATAAACGAATCAATGTAAAAACAGATTTTCAATAAGAGAAAAGAGAACGAGGGTTTTAAAACCATGACTTTCGAGAACACATTTCAAAAATTATGCTCAGCAACTTACTGGTATATCACCACCAATGTGTGCCGACTGTGGCAACGGTTCTAACTTTTCAAGTTCACTGAGTCCATCCAATCCATCCCCAGATTCAAAATCTGAGCAAGGCACTACAAAATGATTGCAATTGAGAAATTCTGAACAGAGATAATATGTAACAAAACAAAACTGACCGGAATCGACTTTTAACTTCTTGCACGCTGGCTCGTCCATGGCGTCGAGTGAGCCGTGGATTGGCGGGCGTGCGCACGCTGCTCGATCCGAGAGCTTCAGCAGCTACTCCAGTTAGTTTACTAGTCAACGTTTGCTTTGTAGCAGAACAATTCAAGACGAGACGCACAACGCTGGCATGCAGCTTGACCGTCCGTCTTTTGCTACCTTCTTGTGTTCTACGCGATGCGCTAAAACAGGAATTCCCAATGACTGAGTACACGCTTACAAAAAATCACGAGATCAATACCAGAAGGAACTGGATCATCATTATGATTAAAACCGACTCTTACTAAAACCGTATCTCTAATGAATTCCAAGGAAATTTATGTAAGAGCAACATTGCTTGATTAACACACAACAATAGTCATCAAAGAACAACTATACGCTTAGCCCTTTCCCCAAATTGTATATACGAACATTGAAACGGGAAATTTTCAAGGATACCCACTTCTAAATTACACCGTCCACCCGATGCATAAGAAGTCACAGAGCCTCTTCAAAGAGCCTTGTCACTTATTATGCAAGGTTATTCGTGCATGGGGAAAGAGAAAATTCAACACCTGTAGCAGCTTAGAGGAGTAAAATAAAAAGTCGCATTCAGATATCAACAAAACGGAACAGAAAAATGCTGCAAATAATGGACAAGTTGTAGTTGGAAAATGACAAAACAAAACAACAATAGTGTTTGTTGAACAATGCTTACATAGCATTTCTTTCGCTCAAACTTTAACAAGCATCATAAAGTGCACAAATATGCAACGAACTTAAGAAACAATAACACGCATGCTCGGCTTTCTCGGCACGCACTCGGCATTATTTATAGAAATAGTGGGATGAAAATAGTTTCGGCCAAAAAACAACCCAATATCGGAACAATCTATCCCGAAAACATCTGGGAGTTCCAAAGATCAAAACTGACCAACATAGTGACCATCAAGTTGATCTGAACGCTAAGAAAAGCATGCCGAATCTTTTCTAGTACGCCGAGACGAACACCTAGACATTGCTCAAATGCATGATACGCAGACAACCCCCAACTGGAGACACTAGATGGTTCGTGGAGTGTCCAGACGCACCTATCGGCGAAACGCTGCGATGGTCATTGCAACGGAGTCAGCATGGCTGTCGAGCTAGTGCTATAGGAAGCACGACTCCACCCCTTCGTAGAGTACGGTAGATAGGCACAGCAATAGCGCGACGCACGCCGCCTCGCTGTCGAGGCAACTGAGTGCCACATGGAAGGAACTATTTAATTGAGATAAGTAGATCAAATGGACAGTATCTGTGAAAGTAAGCACGGTATAAGAAACAGATTGTTACGACATGGGACATAATTGAGAACCTTCAAAGAAGACACGCTATCAACCAAGCAATTGTCCCTTGCAAGGCGTACGGTAGAAGACAGTAAAAGTCACGTAGACCATATATTCGTAATGCACTGACCCTCTCATTTAAGTGAGCTATAGGTGTGGTAACAGTGTGGAAGGAAAAAAGTAAAGAAGGCGGGCTAACAATCACAAAATTAAGGGAAAAGTTTTCTCGGACATTTATGCGCATTTGTAAAATATTCAATAAGGGCACTCATCAAGAGGTTGCACAGTCCATCCGAGACTTCTCCTTAGTTGGAGGAAAGAGAAAACACCAAAAAACCTTGTACGCAAACGTGAAAGTACACGACGCCTCGCAATGCACGAATGATCACGCGCGAACGTACGGCATGTCACCGAGAAAAAAACGTTAACGTGACGAAAGTGATTTATTAACACCGGCGGACCACCACAACCATGTTCACCATCAAGACAAGGATGCTCATGGTGAGAAACACCAGCACGGCCGGCTCAGCGTGTCCTCAAGATTGTAATAACGCGCCGGTGGGGGCGGGGCGAGCAGATGCCCGCACCATCAGCACGATGCGCGCTGTTAGCGCTCACGCTCACCAAAATGTGCCGCTATTGGTGCTGCTACTGCTCGTGCTTCTACCTGTATATGCATAATCAGCCCTCAGTCCACTCATTGAGTAAGCAACGAAGCTTCCGGTATTCTTAACATTATTCTCTATCACCGCAAACATTGGACTAACGCTATGTGACTCCGGATGGACTCTCATTTCTCATATAGTACAGCTCAAATTCTTTGCTATCTCTATTGACAACTGATTCTAATATTCTGCAATGGATCCCATTTGAACGACTGCTAACGCTAGAACTACATTTCGAATCATATTCAATGTATCAATGGCCATCCTGCTACTGACGGTGAGTATTTGCGGTAAATCTAACCCTTTCATGAAATAGGTTGAAACCTACATAAAAATCATTTAATTGTTATTATTTACTTATTTATAATATAAATATTTTGTTGAAAGTGTATTTAGCAAAAGAGGGGAGGATTCTTGTCGAAGAACGAACTCTTGAGTGGTCTCTCCTCCTACGAAGATCCTCAGTTCAATCGAGATAGGGTAATGCGAGGGATGGCCGCCTCAATCACTAACCTATCAGCAGACCACTTGAAGGCAGCTGATTATGTTACTTGCAAAGCACTAGAGAACAACGCACTGTATTGCACATTGTTAGATCCTGTAAGTCCGGTTAGGTCTAAGCTTACAGATCGGCATTTTAACTAGTGTAAATAAACCTATGCGAGATGAGATGCTTCTTGAATGACTCCAAGAAAAATCACAGGCAAAAATATGCTTTACCTACTGCTCTATCTACTCTATAGACGGAAGACTTAGTCCTAGGCAAGTTTTACTTCTGCGGAGTATACCCATCGACCATTTTCACTAAGACTGGGAGAACCGGAAAGAACCGCGGTAGAACAGGGTAAGAAGATGTGATAGTAGTAGCGCCACGTGATTGCATCGGCAAAACATCACCGAGATGCCACCATTGAGTCCACTTGCCCTATTGGTAAACTAGCTCATTCAATGTGATCACTTAACAAACCAAGAACATGTTTTTTTGTAGACAGGTTGCTAGCTTCGAATTCTGATTTATTTAATGAATTATCAGTACTTCACGATTAAGATGAGTGAGAGGTTCCCTAAGAGGTCCTAATGATGTTATGAGAGGTCTTAATGGGGTCATAAGGGAAAGGAAAATTTCGATAGAAAAGGTATGTAGGTGCAATGAAATAGACCAAGTGTAAGACCATAATGAAATTCTTGTAGAAGGCAGATTTAAGATGAAGGAGCAGGGTGAACAACGGTCGAAGATTATTTGCCAAGGACCATATTTACGTGGTGTTCGGGGGAGGGGAGAGGGGGAGGGAAGAACTGTTAAAGATATTCGAGGGGTGGCGACTGCGGAAAGGTGTCGACATCGAGTAGCGCCGTAAACGTAAAATTTGCTTTTGAAGCAGTTCATCATTCTCCATCCCGCTAATTATGGAATAATTTTGGTGAAGTTGAAATGTTTCGGGTTGACTGGACTGAGAGGGAGCGTACTGGTCGGTTTACGGACTACTTGATTTTTCCTCAATGGTCCTGCCGCGATGGCTAGAGCACAGACGATTAGAGAATGCCCTAGGACTAAGCCTTGGAGAGGAGAGGGACCCGCTAGAGAGCGCAGAGGCGGTAAAGGGCTGAGTTCAAGTAGTCCGTCAACCGTACTGGTCATGGGGAGGAGAGGGGGTCGTGCTGAGACCTGTGGTAAGGGGTGGGCGGGCGGGGGAGGCAGTAGCGCCTCACCATCAACTCGGAGGTGTTCATTTTAGGAAGAAGCCTTTGTTGCTTGAAATAAATGAACACTTCCAAGACAACAAACAACTAAATATTACCCAAGTGCCAAATTTTATTTCCATGCATTACTCGGCTGAATGTTACCCTTGATGTGACAAAACCGTGCGACTAATTCCAAAAACGCTGACACCTGCGGAGACGCTACCATTCTACCACCTAAATTTACGGGCTTTTTCTTTAATTAAGGCACTGCATATTTTAAATTACTACGACAGACTCATATTCGCT